TGATGTTCACGTGAAACCTGCGGCAGGTGGGAGGTGGGGCCGGGCTGCTGTCCCCTTGAGGGAGTTCCCTCTGCCCCCGGCCCTTCTTGGTGGGACAGCCCTGTCCCCCCACCTCCTGCAGCCTCAGCTGGGCCACCTGCTCTCCTGCAGGGCTCTGGGTCTCCAGGGGGTGGTTTGGAGAAGACAGGATGCTCATGGGTGGCTCGGAGAGTCTGGAGGGTGGGTATTCCCACCATGCCCTCTCGCGTGCCCCATGGGAGGGCAAATACTGGTGCCATCTGAAAGCATCCCAGTGGGGACCTGCCCATGTGGACCCTGGAGAGGCCCTGGCCCCCCCACTCCCCGGCAGTGCAGTCCCGCCCTGAGTGAGCTCCGCCCCCTCGGCCCTGCCTCCCAGATCCCCCAGGTGCCTGCCCTGGTCACCCCTTGGCCTTTCAGGTTCCAGTGGGGAAATCAGAGCAGGGTCACGTGGCCCCCAATGCAGGCGCCGGTCAGCCGCGCTGATGGCTGTGCGGGTAAATGGCCTTGGTGGGTGCCCGCGGGGGTGAGCCTCCGGGAAAGGCAGTCTGGCCTGCCAGCGTGCGCACTGGCCTTGCTGCTTTGGAACCAGGTGGACTTGCATTTAAACAGAGGCCCCGTCTCTGCTATAAGATGGTCCCCACTCCTGGGCTTTGGGAGGATGGGCTGGGCAGCGGGGCTGTGGGATGACGGACGCTCCAGGAAGGGCAGGGACGCTGCTCGGCCCCACCCCGTCCTCTGGGGCCCAGAGCCCAGCTGGGAACCTGAGGGCCGGGGGCTGCCCTCCCCCGCTGCCTGGCCCTGCAGGGCCGCTGGGGCGCCAGGCAGGCATGATGACCGCCCTGCCTGCCCTCGCTGCAGCTCCTTTCTCTACGCCTTCCTGAACCTGCTGGTCAGCGCCTTCGTGGTCTTCCTGGTCTTCATCGCCAGCACCATCGTGAGCGTGGGCTTCACTATGTGGTGTGACGCCATCACCGAGAAGGGCTCCGTGCCCCACAGGTGCGCCCCGAGCCCCGCCCTGACTCCCCAACAGCCTCTTCCTGCAAGAGCCCCCCTGTGCCCCCACGGTGCCCCCACAGTGTCCCCTGCAGCCTGCGCACCTCTGGCTAGCCCCGCCGCTGGCCTGTACCCCCTTCCCAGTTCAGGGAGCCTGCTGCAGCTTCACACCGGAGCAGGTCCCCCAAGGACCCTAGGGGTGGAGGTCCCGGAGGTCAGAGGTTCCAGCTTCCCCATCAAAGCCAGCACGTGGTCGGATGACGGGACCCCACGGGGTGGGCTCCAGGTCCTAGGAGGAAGATGAAGATGAAGTGAGTGGGGTGCCGAGGGGCAGGACTGGGAGTTTCTGGTCAGAGGGGGTTGGAGACAGAGGCCTCGGGCCGGGAAGGAAGCTCTGGGCCCTGAGTGAGTGGCCGTTTCTGGCTTGGGGGCAGCCCCAGGTGGAGCATGGTGACTGCTGGACCCTGGCCTGGGGCTGCCCACTGCCCGGCCCTCAGGGCAGTATCCAGTGCCCCAGGACAGGGCTCTGGAAAGGCAGGGGCCTCACCTATTCCAGAGGCTCCAGATTCTTTCTCTAAGAAAAATCTGATCTGGAACTTGAACATATAAATAATGAAAGAACTGAAGTGAGAGGCAGGGGTGGGGGCACCTACCTGCTACGCTGCCCCTTCACCCTGGGGGTCCCTGGTGCCTCTGCAGAAGTGTGGGGCGCACAACAGAGGACAGTTTGAGCACCTTGGGTGGGTGACCCCCTCAGGGTCCACAGAGGGCAGCCCCTCTGTGTGTGGGGGTCTTGCCCATGCTGAGCTGTGTGGGCTCTCCCCCCTGAGCCCCCAGACACTTGACTGCTCACCACCCCCTGCCCCCCATCCCGAGCTCTCAGAGCACGGGCAGGCCGCTGGGTATGGCCTTGGGCTCCTCTAGAAAGGCACCCAGAGTTTCTTTACCCTCACGAACTCCACTTCCAGCCCTTCAGCCTCATCCCCCAACTCCTTCTGGGGCGTGCCTGGGCCTCTGGGCTTCCCTCTCTCTGGGCACCAGGCTCCCATTAATGTGTCCTGACGTTTGAGAGGCTACAGGTCCCTGAGCCCAGGCTTCGGAGGCCCAGCCCGGCCCAGCCTGTCCGCAGACAAGGAGTTTGTGGCAGTCACTAGGACTGCATGGTGTCCTGCTGGTTGCTGCTGGGTTTGCTGGCCTGTGCTGCCAGCCCCAGGTGGTTAAAGGGGTGCCCCCTGGATGCCCCGGAAACTCGAGCAGGGCTGCCGTGCAGCTCAGTCTGGGGACTGAGGGGTCAGAAGCTGCACCCCGCACCCCTGCTTCTGCAGCCCTTGGCCCTGTAGTGCCATGTGGCCATGGGGCCAGGGCCGGGGCTTCAGGGGAGCGATGGCCAGGGCTGGTAGCCCCCACCATCTAGGGCCAGATGGGGTCAGATCTGCAGGGTCCCTGCCCCACGGATGGGCCCTGTCTGCCCCACCTTGGGGACAGCGCCTCGCCATCTGGGGGCCCCCTGCTTGACACCCCCAGCGGTCACCGTCCACCCCTGCGTCTTGCCGTTTCAGTTGTGAAGAGCTCCAGGGCATCGACTTGGAGCTGAACGTGGACAACTCTGCCTTCTATGATCAGTTTGTGATCGCCCAGGTAGGCGGGGCTGCTCGAGTGGGCGGGGCTGCTTGAGTAGGCAGGGCTGCCTGGGTAGCTGGGAGGGGACTCACTGCTGATCTTTCACTGAGTGCACAGCCCTGCGCACCGCCTGCCCCCACCGCCCCCCCAACCCCCGCTCCCCTCCCCGCCACCATCCAGGAGGAAACAGACTTGGTTAAGGATGCTGTCATGGCAGAGGAGACACAGTGAGCGCAGTGCTGGGGGAGCAGTCAGGAAGGCTTCCTGTAGGAGGGCTGAATCTTGGAGGCAGAGCATTTTTGTGCGGGTGGGGAGGGGTGGAGCATGGGGCGTCCTGGGAGGAGGGAACAGCCTGAATTAAGGGCAGAAGCGGGAGGCCTGGCGGGTGAGGGGTGGCTCTGTGCTGCTCATCTGAGCCTGCGGGCTGGGGCAGGAGTCTGGATCCTGGTTCTGGCGCCACGTGGGCCCTCAGATAGATGCTTGAGGGTCCACGGTGAGTCCCCAGTGAAGCAGCTGGGGCAGGGTCCGAGTGAGAGGGTCTCTGGAGGGGATCTGGAGGGGGACTTCACTTTTGGAGGAGCCCCCAGCCACTGTTGGGGAGACGCTGCTCTGCCAGTCCTGCCCTTGGATCAGGTTCGCCCCCTTCCCTCCAGGAGACCATGGGTCAGTCTAGGGACCCCATCTGCTGGACACAAGTGTGTTAGGACATGTGGTCAGAGAGGGTCTGTCCCTCAAAATCTGCGCCTGACCCTGATGATGACCCTGATGGCAGGGATGGCGGGGTGCCTGGGCAGGCGGGTTCTTTCGGCTTTGGGCAGGTCCTGCCAGCCTCCAGGTCCACTTCTGGTCCTGCACTGGCCAGTGGTCGGCCTGGGGATCCTTTCCATAGTGAGGCGTCCTCTGGGGTGGGGGCTGGGGGGCTGGACATTGGTGGGTCCAGCTGAGATGAGCTGAGCCTGCCAGAGACACCTTCATGTAAATTTCGTGGGAAATGCTCCTGCCCGAGTTTGTCTGGGTTAGATAAGGAGGGTGCGGGCTGAATGATGACAGACACCTTCCACTGAGCCAGTTTAATTGCGCCTCGAGCCTGGTTCTGATTAAATTGTTTCCCCTCCAACTGTTTGGAAACAGCAGATAAAGGTCAATTTGTTCCAGCGATTGGAAGAGGCTCCCTTACAGATGAAACGAGCTCTCCTTGGAGCCCAGTACCCGCCCTCCCCGTCCTGGGCCCTGGACGCGAGGGTGGGCAGTGTTCCCGAGGCAGGGGCACGGCTTGGGGCCAAGAGGGCTATCAGATGCTGGGGGTGACGCCCCCATCCTTTCTGGCCCTGGGCGGCGGGCAGGTGCCCCTGGCAGTGGCCCCTGGACATGACTGGCCTCCTGACGCGCTCTCCACCCCTGCAGTTCGGCCTCTGGGCCTCGTGGCTGGCCTGGCTGGCCATCACCATCTTGGCCTTCCTGAAAGTCTACCACAACTACCGCCAGGAGGACCTGCTGGACAACCTGGTCCACGAGAAGGAGCTGCTGCTGGCCCGGCCCGCCCCCCGTGCCGCCTTCCAGGACGAGAAGAGCGCCATCATCTAGGCCCGGCCGGCCCCCTCACCAGGGCTGGGGGGTGCGTGCTGCCCTGGGCCGCGGCCCTGGCTCTGCCCAGCCCCCACACCTCGCATGCCTCCTCTTGGCTCTGTGTGCAGTGCTGAGCGACCCCCTCACCGGGCACCCGGTTCCCACCCCGAACGGGCCTGGCAGCCGGCGGGAGTGGAGCCACCCTCAGCCCTGGGCCGGGGGAGCCTCCCCCAGGCTCCATGCAGGGGCCTCCGCCCGTCCCGGGGGTGAGTCTGGGGGAGGCCCTCGGCCAGTGGGCTTGCTGTGGTCACGCTCCCCTGCGGGCCTCGGCCGGATGCCATCTGTGTGACTTCTTGCCAGCTTCCATGGCTGCAGCCTGTGGCCGCAGTGTGACCCCAGCGGCCTGCGATGGCCACACGTCTCTCTCGTCACCCGCTCTCTGAAGCGTGCAGGGGACGAGGAGCCCGCGCCCCCTGCGAGCCAAGCACTGCGTGTGGGAAGGAGCCCTGCGCCCCGGCACCCCCCGGGGCTGAGTCCCCCTCTGCTCTGTTTCCGGAGCCCCTGGGAAAGCACAGGGTGGTGGGTGGGTCTGGAGTCAGGCCACAGCGGTGGTGTGGGCTTCCTGGGGGCCTCGCTTGGGGTGGCCCCAGGGGCCCCCCTGTGGGCTGGGCCTGTGCCTGTGGGGTGGGGACGGGTGTGGGGGTAACCCGTCTTGCAGGGGAGAGGGGCCCAGTGCCACAGCGGGTGTGTGTGTGCCTGTGAGGCGTGTGAGAGTGTGGACGTGTGTGTGATGTGAGTGCATGTGGTCAGTGTGTGCGAGCGTGCGTGTGTGGGTGGAGATCAGAGCGGGCAGCTGTCTGTACCCTCATCCCCAGGGCCCCCCGTACCCCAGAGGAGGGGCCGCTTTCCCGTCTCAGGGGGCCCCGAGGGCGCAGTCCTGCCCCGTGGCGGCAGGCAGAGGAGCTGGTCGGGGGGACCCGCCAGGATTTGGTGCTGAGCCACCTGGGGGCTGCCTGGCTGTGGATGCCCGTCAGGGCCCCCGGCTCAGGAGACAGGTCTGCCTGTGTGCTCATTTGCAGCGGCTTGATCTCCCTAAAAGGAGGGCTGGGGCGTCCAGGGGCCCCGTGTTGCAGGCAGCCTGGGCCCGGGAAGGGAGGCGCAGGTCACTCGTCATGATGTGCTTGGCTGGCATCTTTTGGGAGGGGGGCTCGGGGAGGAGGTGATGGAGGCTCCTGGCATCTTAGATGCTCTGGCCCCTGGCCTGGCGGGGGGTTCTGGCCAGAGCAGCAGGGTCCTTGGGGAGGGGTTTTGACAGAACCTGAGGCCCGCAAGGGGGTCTGCCTGCCCAGTCCACTGGCCCCTGAGAGCTCCTGGTCTGTTCCCCGCAGAAGGGGGTGGCTCTGCCTTGTCCCCCAGCAGGCGGCAGCCATCTGGGCCCTGGAGGGTGGAGCAGGCCCTGGACGTGGGCTTCTGGACCGGAGGCCCTGCTGCGGGTGTGGGCGAGCCTGGGCACTTGTGGATGACCTGGAGTTGGTCTGGGCAGCCCCTCGGTCAGACCAGCAGAGACCTGTGTCCACGTACAGGGCCACCTGCAGGGCGGAACGGTCACTGATGCACAGGCTTTACGGGCCAGAGGCTGCTGGCATCCCCAGACTTCCCTATCCTGGGGGCTCCCGGGAAAGGCACAGCTGGCCTCAGGGAGGGGGTCCTGGGACAGGGGCCGGTGGCCTAGCAGTGGGCCAGGGAGGCCCCCTGAGGCTGGACAGGAGGGGCCGGCTGTGCCCTGGGGACCCTGAGGAGGGTCTGCCCCGTCGCTTCCTCAATGCCTGCTTCTCCCCACTGCTGTTTGGTAATGGACATCCTATTTAAATTCTACTCCAGCTTAACTGAAAGTGAAGGTTCTTCAACGCAAATGTATTTATTTCTCAAGTCAAAATAAAAACAAAAATACCTGAGCCTCTAATGTGGACGGTTAGGCATCTCTTTATCCATCAGTTTGCCTTTGTTTCTGTTGTTCTGTCTGCTTTCAATTTAAGACTGGAAACAGTGCCTTCTGTGTTTGCTCCCGGAGTTTCCCAGACTTACTGGGAACCGGGAGTGTGCCCGCCCCCCGCGGCTGCAGTCACCATCTGCACGTCTCCTCGCGGCTTCTGTTCTGTCTGCTCCCCGTCGCCGCTTCTTGGGTGTGAGGATGGATTTCATGTCTCAGAATTCTCAGGGTTGTCGCGTGTGCCTTGAGTGATACTTTTCCAAAAGCAGCGGGGGTCCGGGTCTTGCCTACCCTCTGAGCTGAGAGCAGTGGGCCGTGAGGAGGGGTGTCGGGGAGCCCGGTCCCTGCCGGGCGCTCCCCTCACGACGGGCTCGGGGCTCGGGGTGCTGAGACCTGTGGGCTCGGGTCTGCCACTCAGCCTGCCCCGTCCTCTTCAGGGGGTGGCGTGGGCGCAGGGGACGGCTGGCGTCTGTGAGGGTGGCAGCTGTGATGCTGGAGCGTCCCCGAGGGCCGTTGACCCCGGAGGCGGGTCTCTGTCCGCCGGGCTCCTGGCTCAGGGCTCCCTGAATTCTGAAGCCGGAAGGGACCCTGGAGACAGGTGCCCCGGCCCCTGAAGCCCCAGGGCGCCGGCTCGCACAGCACCCCGAACTCTGCAGCAGCTGCTGAAGTGAATCCACAGCGAATCGGTCCCAACCTCCTTCCTTGGGGCCAATGTCTCCAGGAGGAAGGAGGTGGCAGTGTTTGAATAGAAAACCGGCGTCTCCCCACCTAACCCGTGGGGACAGACGGCAGGAGTCCAGGCAGCATGCGGACTCCCGTCTTCAGGCTGTGGGGGGCTTCTCCCCCGGTGGGGCCTCTCTGCTTTGCTCAGGCCCCTCTCCCTCCCTGCATCTGAGGGGACCCGGGGTCAGTCTCCGCAGGGCTCCCTCGGTCTGGCTGCATGGGCTACAGAGTCATGGTGCTCCCAGGCTCCACACAGCCCACGTGGGGCCGTCAGGACCCAGGCCCAGACGGCCGCGTCTGGAGGGCGGCGACCCTGCTGCTCAGCACTCCCCGTCCCCTCTCTGCTGCCCCCAGGCCGGCAGCTTCAGAGGTGCCAGGTGGCACGCATGCCCGGACAAGCGGGGCTCCCCAGGCCTGGGGCCCAGCGCTGGTGGCAGCTAAGCTGGAGGTGCCAGCCCCCCCCCATATGACTGTAGGAGATAGCATGCCCCCGAGCCACCTCTCCCAGCGGGGTTTTGGGGTCTGGGCTCCAGGCCCCCAAGCAGCAAAGCCCAGTTTCCTTCCCTCCTCTGGGTGCCCTGGAAAGAGGGAGGGTGCCTCCGGCCCGAAGGGGCTATACGCAGACGCCTCCAGGCCCAGCACAAGGTCGCCGAGAGTTCCTGCCAGGGTGAGGGGGCGCCTGAAGGGTAGCCCTGGGGGCTGGAACCAGTGGGTGCCCGGGTTTCAGTGGTGACATTCTTGTTCGGAGAAGACCTCCCAGTGGACGCCACTGGGCCCCAGGGGGCGGGCATCGCCGTCAGAGCTGCAGCAGGCAGTGCCAGCAGGCCAGGGCCGCCAGCCGCAGGCGCAGGAGGGCGGCAAGGAGCCGGGCCCGCAGGCCCTCCAGGGCCCCGGCCACGGGCCCGGCCTGGCCGCAGCACACGCCCAGCACCAGCACCAGCAGGATGCAGGCTGTCAGCCGCAGGAGCAGGGAGCCACCACGGGGCCGGGGTCGGCTGGGCGCTGGGGGCCGAGGGGGCAGGTTAGCCTGGCTGGCAGGCCTGACTCCCCGGCCCCAGCGGGGACCCTGCGGGCGCCCTCCTCCGTGTGGGGACTGGTGGGAACACTGCAGGGGACCCCCAGGGGCTGGCACCTCAGTGACCCCCAAGGTTCCCAGGGGGCCTGGGTCTCCCCTGTCCCTCTCTGGCCAGTGGGCTCCTTGCAACGGAGGCCTGCTGTGGGCACCCCGCCCTGCGCCCTCCCGCGGGGGTCAGTGAGGGACAGAGGGCAGCTCTGGGGAGCTGCTGCCCACCCGCGTCCGTCAGGGACCCCAGCTGAGGGCGGGGCCCCGCGGGGGTGGGGGGTGAGAGCTCTGAACTTACCCTTGGCAGCGGCGGTGGGCTCCCTGCAGGCGATGTCTGGGGAGGAGAGTGAGAGTGGGCTTGGGCGGGGAGGGGCCTCCCCTCTCGGAAGGTGCACCCCCTCCACCAGCCAGGTGCCCCCAGGCTTCCCCCATCAGCCGCCCTCCTGAGGACCCTGAGTGGACCAGATCAGACAGAGCTCCCCGCTTTGCCGATGGAGACCAGCTCCCGCAGGTCCTGACCCAGCTGGGCGGTCCACCCCCTGGCTGGCCACTCTGCCAGCACCCCCCAGGGTCCTGCCCAGCCTCATAGGCTTCAGGTTCCGGCTTCCAGATGCTGGGCGCTTCCTGGGGGTCCTAGGGGAGGGTGGGGTGTGGCATCTGCAGGGACAGGGAGGGTGGAGACTGCAGGGCTCCTGGGGCGAGGGCAGCCGGACGCCTGGCCACCTGTCCATCCTACTTGGCTCACTGGGGGCCCTAGGCCAGTGCCGACCGGGTCCTGACTCCTTGTCTGAGGGTCTCTGTGTTCGGGTGTCGAGAGGTCCTGGGGGTGGGGCTGATCTGGGTGGTAGGGGCAGCTGAGGGTCGGGGCGCGGGCCCTGCTGGAGGCCTCTCCCGCTGGTTACCCCCGGCCTTCACAGGAGACGCTGATGTGTGTCGGGGCGGCGAGCTGCACTCACAGCTCGGCAGGACTCAGGGAGCCCCGCCCTTAGGGGCTGTGGCAGCAGAATCTAAGATGCCCCCACCATCCCCCCCAGATCCCTGCCTTTGTGTGGTGCCCCCTGCTGGGCGTGGGGGCCTGCGATGTGCTTCCACCAGCAGGACACGGCAGAAGGGCCAGGGTCCCTGGGCTCTGACGGGAATCCCCAAGGGGACCGAGTCAAGGGACGGGATCTCGGGTGGGCCCGGCCCCATCAGATGAGATCTCGCAGCAGAGGGGCTGGAGGTCAGGGAGAGGCTCTGCTGCTGCCCTTGGAGGTACAGCTTGGAGGACATCAGTTCTGTAATAGCCCCGTGCGCTTGCACTAGGGTCCTGGGCCCCGGGTGAGGCCCAGCGCTGGCTGGCTCCCCAGTGGCCACCTCCCTGAGGGAGGGCTGGTGTGGCTGTGCCCAGCACCCTGACCCACAGGACCGCCGAGATGATCAGCATAGGTGATCTGAAGCAGCTAAGTCTGCAGTATTCGTCACCAGGCATCGCTAGCTGATACAGGGCTGAGGCCCACGGGCAGGGCTGGAGCAGGAGTGAGCTGGGCAGCGGTATGAAGCGGGCTCTGGGGGAGGATCCGGGGTGCCGGGCGGGAGTGGGGAGGACGGGGGAGGTGGGCACTGCAGGCTGGGGGGCAGGGAGGAGCTTTGGGACACAGGAGGGCAGAGCAGGTGGGTGTGGGGAGCCTGCCCTCTGGCCTTTCCTCAAGGAGACAGGGATGGCCGGGTGGCTCTGGTTCTAGTTTTCCTGTCGGTTGTTGTTTTCCTGACTGTCACTAGGTCCAGACTGAGCCCACGGGCCTGGGTTTTACTGTGAGGACAGGGCCGTGACTGCAGTCCCTGCAGCGGCCCTCCACGAGGTCCCGGGAGATGGCCCCCCTCCCGCCCGGCTGCGGCCCGCTCGCCTCCTCTCTTACAGTGGACGGCCACCTCCAGGGGCTCTCGGAACCGCACGTGTCTCGTGGTCCTCCGTGGCTCATCCCCACGGCCGCAGTGCTCCTGCGGGCTTCGTCTCAGGATCGAGGCGGGGCCCTTTCTGCCCTCCTGGGGGGTGGGAAGTAGAGGGGAGCGAGCGGAAGTGAGTCCCTCCCGTCTGGCCTCCTGGAGGCTGGAGAAGACAGGCAGCCTCGCCAGCATGCCTGCTGCCTCTTCTGGGTTTCTGAAGGGGGACCCCCGGGCGGGCGGGGGACCAGGCCTCCTGGGTCTCCCAACCCAGCCCTCTCCCTCCCGGGGTTCCTGGGGCTGAGCCCAGCTCAGGGAAAGGGCAGAGACCTCCCTCCCTCTCTGCTTCCCCTTCCTGCCTCCTGCGGAGGCCCAGCTCTTGTACCAGGTGCAAGGGACCCTGGGACCCCCAAGACCAGTGCCCGCCCCGGGCCTTGCCTCACCCTCCCCGCCCTGGGCATCGGTGAGCCTGGAACCGTCTCCTCATTCTTTCTGGTCTGATGTTGCGTCTCTGGCCGGGAGTCGGGGCTCAAGGCGTGCGCTGCAGTCTTCATTTATTGGGACATGGTCCTGAGATAAGCACAGACATTATTTATTACCCAGGGAACACGAGGAGGAATAAAATAAAAGGGAGAGAGATTCTTCCCAGAAAGCTGAGCTGGCATCCCCCCACCCCTGAGGCGCGCCCACAAGCAGACACCGCCTCCCTTCGTCCTGCCCCTGGCGTGGAGGAACCCTGCTTGCTCAGAACCGCGTGGTCAGCAGCCTCGCCTGCTGCCCATCTTCTTAATCATCAGCTTTAGTGGCTGCGTAATATTCCACAGGGCTGACCCTGTGATTTACAACCAGTCTCCTTTGTTAGTGTGGACATTCGGGAGGTTTACATTTTACTATTGCCACTTGCAGTTTTTTTGAGGCCACAGATAAGACTGCAGTAAACATCACTGCTGCATCCTTCCTGGGGATGCTCCTGGCTGAAAGCTGGCATTCAGGGCTGGGCTTCAGCAGGGCTTCGTGGGGGCTGGGAGAGGCTTCTCTGGGGTTAACAGGGGCTGGAGCTGCTGGGCCCACCCCTCAGGCTTGCCCAGATTCTCCATCTTTCCCTCTGTCTTTCTGTCCCTCCCTCTTTCTCTCCCTGGTTTTTAGATTGCTCATGTACTAGGTGTAAGGTGGTACTGCCCCTCTGGGAGCCTCTGGGCTCAGCCAGTCTGGTGTGAATTTTCTTTCATGTCCTTTGAAGGGTCCTTGACTTTTGAGGCCTCCCCCAGTCCTGCACGGGTGAAGCCAGGCAGCTGTTGCCCCAGATCTGCCTTGAACCTGTGCAGGAAAGTGGACTCCGGGAGGTGTGACCCAGTCCTCTCTGCCCCGTCCCCATGGATAACAAGAGCGCGGTGGCTTCTCCCCTCCCATTCCCAGCCCTAGGCTCTGCTGGGGTCCTGCTCTGGGGTCCTGGGCAGGCCTTCCTGCTCCCTCTCTACCGGGGCAGATGTTTGTGCTTTATGAGGGTTGTCCTGGCTTCCATCCATCCTCCAAGGACCCCGCCCCCAAGGGTGGAGGTGGGGCTGAGTGAGGTGGAAGCTGCCAGGTCAGAAAGCAGTGCCAGGGGGGCCTGGTTTGGGGGAGGGCGCTCTCCATTTGGGAGATAACAGCCTGGCCATTCAGTTATTTCAAAAAGGAGCAATTTTCTCCTATCTCAGCATCAGGCTTTTTATTTCAAATAGGGTAACAGGGGTGGAGAGGTGGGGAGGGAGGCCTGCTCTCATGGAGGCCCTGGGGGCCCAGCCTCAGGCCTGGGGGGGCCAGGGCTCTGCCAGCGGCCCAGAGGTTGACCTACTGGAGTTCCCAGGGCCCTCCCCCCAGGCCGGGGGTGGTGGGACAACATGTGAATGTGTACACACCTGTGTGATCACTTTTGTGAATGTGCACTTGTGGATGCACATAGATGTACATAGATGTACATGTGTGCACACATGTGTAAGTGCTGTGTGCACACAGGTGCGCATGTGAGTGTACAGGTGTACCTGCATATGTTGGGCAAGAGTGCGTGTACAGCTGTGCGTGACTGTGTTCCCCTGTGCGTGTGAACACACACATGTATGTGGAGCCTGTGTGAGGATGAGTGTCGGGGTATGTGCCTTCTGTCCGTGCACACACGTGCCAGGGTGCATGTGTGTGTGTGAAGGTGCCTGTACACGTGCGTGTGCCCGTGACTGGCTATGAACGAGCAATGCAGTGAGTGTCCCTGGCAGCTCTGAGCCTGCAGGGCGGGCAGCCCCACTCAGCCCCATCCCGGGCCGCCTGTGACCTTGTGTGACCTTGGCAAGCCCCTTAACCTCTCGGAGCCTCCGGTTCCAGCTGGAAACGCCTCCGAAGCTCCTGCTGGGGCGCAGGGGTGACCGGGACCCGCCTGTGCCCGCGGCCATCAGCCTGGGTCAGCTCTCAGGGAGAGGGTGGGACGTGCCCAGCACGGAGCCCATGTGCATGGGGAGCTCCCTGCGGGGGTCCCCTGCCCGCCATCTCTCAGGAGCCCCGGGCTTCTCTTGCTCCCGATGGCCTTCGGCCACACCCGCAGCCTCGCCCAGGCTCCAGCTTCTGTTAAAGGGCGCCCCGGGTCCGCCCCAGAGGAAGCAGGACCTCTTGGCCCCCAGGACTGGCCTGAGTGCTGGGCCCCACCGTTCTTAGGCTCAGGGGCCTCACTCAAAGGGCTGGGCCTCAGTTTCCCCCCAGGAACTTGGAGGAAGGTGTGGCTCTGGTCTGCCCAGTGGGTGAGGCTGCTCTGGGCCCTGCCGCCCGCCTGCACACAGGCCCCGTCTCCGGCCCGGGGTGGACGGTGTGGGCGCCCTGTGTGGGGGCGGGCAGGCCTCGGGGCCTCCAGCAGGGACGGCGTGTAACATGAGTGCCCTTCTCCGAGGCCACCTTGTGACAGATGGGCGATAAGGGTGGAAAATAGCTCTGGGCCTGCAGAGTGTCACCCGCTCCCCCACCCCTTGTCAGGGCGGGCACGGCCTGATAGGCCACTGCCTGGGGGGGGACCCTGTCCTTCCCTGGGCTGGGGACCTGCCCTGGGCACCCCCAGAGCTCCTGGTCCAGTCCTGGGGGCCCTGAGGGGGCCAAGCGGGGCTCTTCTGCCTGCTTCCCGGGAGAAGGGGTCTGGCCAGGGCTGTGCCCCCCAGGACCCCCGCCCCCCCGATGGTCTGTGGGGGCTGGCCCAGCACCCTCTCTCCCTCCCTGCTGTGACCTGACACCTTCGGGAGCCGGCGACAGTATCCACAGCAGTCCCCCCACCTGCCTGCTCCCCGGCCTCTGAGGGTGCAGGGTGGGCTGGGCCGGCTGGCTCCCACCTGGTTCAAGGCCTCGGACAATGCCGAGCCCTGGGCCCCGGCCCCTTGCCGTCTGCCCCATCCCCACTGGGCTGCTGCCTCCTGCAGGCCAGGCGGTCCGCACCCCGTGTCCGCCCCCCACCTGCCCCCGGCCTGCCGGCCTCTGTCCTCATCAGGGGCCCTTCCTCAGCTCGGACCCCACCGCTGCTCCATCACCCCCAAGCCTCCCTGTGCCCGGCTGCCCGCGGGGCCCTGGGCTCAGGCGAAGGCCAAGCTGGCTGAGTCCTGCAGCCCTCAGGGGCCCTGAGCCCGAGCCGGCAGCGCCTTGGCCAGCCTTCCCGCTGTCCTGTCACTTGGCACACCACCTCCAGGGGCGTCCCGCCGGCAGAGGTGGGAGAGCCAGGCCAGCCAGGACCCCGCCCCGGAGGCTGAGCTCATGTGTCCCCCAACTCACACACCGTGTACAAGTACACACAACTCACACACACACCACACACGTGTACACACACGCACACGCACCCACCCCCCCACACACAGACTATGTACATGCATACACACCACAACATGTACTCACACATGCACACATACCTACACCACATACTACGTGCACATACACACACCACACACATGTACACAGACATACTATGTACACCACAGACATTTACACACACACACCGGTACACGTACACACACCACACAACTCACACACACAACACACATGTACACAAACACATACTATGTACATGTACACACACCGCACAACTCACATACATACCACACGCATGTACACATATACACACACCTAGACACACCCATACACACATATACGCACACACCATACCCATTTGTACACATGTACACACACATGTACACCACACAAATACACATAACACACAGCACACAGACATCACACACATGTCTCCACACTCGCTTACATGCACACACTCACACCTGCTGCCTGGCTCACCTTGGCTCCTGGCTGCTGCGCCCCGGGCGAGCTTGCCCACCTGCGCCCACAGTCCACTGGTGAACAGGGCCTCCAGCAGAGAGGGAACCGGAGCCAGGACAGCTCACGGGCAGCTGAGAAGCTTCTCTTACACTATGGGGCTGCGGCTTCAGCGGCCCTCTGGATGGCCCTGCTGGAGGAGGCCGTCGCTGTGGGGCCAGTGGCCTGGTGGCATTTGATCCCCGCCCAGAGCGGCGGGCTGAATTCAGGGGCCTGACCCCACGGGCTCTGCCTTTTCCGAGCTGGGGAAGGAGACAGAAGGCTGTGGACACCCCCGCACCGGCTTGCCACAGGCGGGTGGGAGTAGGGAGGCTGGCCAGCCAGAGGCCCTGGCAGCTCCCAGCCTGGCAGCTCCCCAGGTAGCACCGTTTCCGAATTGAGCTGGGGGAGGACTCCGGGGAGCCCAGGGCTGGCCTCGATCACTGGGGCTGCCTGCTGCCTCTGGCCCTGCCTGGAGCGGGGAGTCGGGGAGTTGGAGCTGGCTGGGGGTCCCCGAGCCCCTCCACACTGGGACACTCAGCCTGCACATCTCTGGGGTGCATTTAGGATGTGGGGCAGCAGCAGGCCCTGATGACATCTGTGTGCCCCAGGCAGGGGACAGCCAACCTCGGCCTTGAACGTCCCAGGTGATGGGGCTCGTGGACTCCCATCCAGACCATGGCCACCTCACCCTGAGTCCACCCCTGGGTTCTGCCCACTGTCCAGAGTGCCGTCAGGTTGGAGAGCGAACGCCTCCATGGTGCCTGCACACAGCAGGTGCCAAATAAGTGCTGTGTCCTAAGCTCCCCACGCACACGGTGGGCAGGATGGGGACTCCTTCTGGTTGAGTCAGCTCAGAAAAGAGCCATGGGGACACCTGAAAGCTGTGGCCTGGGCTCCAGTGACCCCAGGAACACGTCTGTTCACTCCAAGCTCGGTCCTCAGCAAGTCCCCCGGGGCCCTCTGCGGAGGGCTGGCAGGGGTCAAGGTCCCACCCTGCCATCCAGGCCACGGTGCCTGCCGAATGCCCGGAGCCGTCCTGCACCTCGGAAGGCCTGACGCGGGGTGTGGGCGGCTTTGCCCATGCATGGCCTGGCCTTGGGCAGGAGCACGGATGGAGGGCCGGTGGGGCCCTCAGCTCAGGCCTGGGCCCTGGGGAGGGGCTCAGAGCGCCGGGGGCACTCGCCACCCCCGCTGGGCAGACCAAGCACCAGGTCCAGAGGGGCCGGGGCTCCTGGAGTCACGAGCG